CTGGCCTTCTATACCTGGGGCATCTGGGGATCCTCTTTCCCCGCTTTCCTCCTTCTCCCCAGGGTCTCATGGGGATTCTGGGTCTGGGTGGGGCTTAACCCCTTCCATCCAGCGGTTCCCATCGGTTCCCGCCGGCTTCCGCCGGCTCCCGGGCATTAACCCTTTCTTCCGACCTATCCGTTCGATCCTTTCCTCCTACATCCCTCAGGGGGATGGCCGGACTCACTGCCCTCGCTCTCTCAGGCTGCCCCATACCGTACACCAGGTAATGTGCCGGATGCTTTCCAACATCCACTAACTTGGTGCAGAGCAGTCTGTGGGGCGACCACAAGGTAGCCCGAGCATGATGCGGCGGCCATCTTTGATCCCGCGTCTACCGAGACTCCAGGGACCATGTTCCCGCCCCTTTAGCCTCAGCCGATATCTTTAATCTTGCGTCTCGCAAGATTATGGATGGCCGTTTTGCTACTCTCGCCCACCACGATTTCGGCGCTCGAGAGTAAAATATACCTGGGCTGTCAGCTAGCCTAGCTGCTCTCGTGGCTCATGATGCTCTGACACGGATGTTGGACCCCAGGGCAATTTGAGTCGTACTCATGTATAGTGGTTCGAGGTACTGGAACCTTAAAGGGATATCACCCCCAAAAACCCCTTAAAGAGATAGCACCCTCAAATTCCTTAAAGATACCATTCTTGGACCCTTAGAGGGAACTCCTTAAAGGGATACCACCCTGGAACTACTTAAAAGGGATACCAATTCCTTAAAGGGATAGCACCCTTGGACACAGACTATCAAGATTGTACTGTATAAGTACATATCAGTGATGGGAGATTTGAAGGGATCAGGGTTCAGGAATCTACAGCAAGACTCTATGTCTGGTAATGGATGCTCAAAGGGATGACTATCACTTAAGACTACCTGTCAGAACACGACAGACGACGGAGCTTAGAGCTCGTGCTATATCCTATTATCCCTCAGAGGTCAGTCACTTTTGTCTCATTACTGCCATATTAGGCACTAAAGGGCTTATTACCCTGTGCCTGCCTGGGATTCTGCCCCTATTACTGTGCTGCTTTTTGGAGGTCGCCCTGTGGCCACCTCTGTGATCCTGGGTGAGGCACAGTTATACAAATCCCAATATTGTGGTTTGCCCTGCTGGGACAATTTGACAACACTAAGTGACAGATACAGAATACCCTGCTGGGGTAATTACACCTTACTGTCATTTTTACCGACCCTGCTGGGGTCCACTGGCATTATTTACACTACAACAGATACTCTGCTGGGGTACCCCATATCACACACCCTGCTGGGGTTGTTTTGGTACTTTGAGACAATAAATTGCACACAATAAGTGCACACTACTGCATATCACACACCCTGCTGGGGTTGTTTTGATACTTTGAGACAAATAATTGCACACAATATATTGCACACTACTACACCTTGCTGGGGTCTGCATGGTGCATTGCACACAATGAAACGGATTGTGCTCTCATCCAGTCTGTTTTATTTGGCCGCGACCCATGCTTGACGGGTACATACCCCGCGCCCCTGAGGGGATCTTTGACTAGGTATAAGCCAATCTATTCGGCTAAA